CCGCCGCTACTTTGAATGCTACTTTTATGGCGCATGCCGCGCCGGTTCAGCGCCACGGAGACGTTAATTGCCGCGCGCAAAACGTACAGCACGCCTGAGCACGCCTCACCCGACGGCCGAGTGCCGACCAGTTACTAACTAAACCGTTTCCGCCTACCTAATCGGATCTACGACGACCGATGGCCGCCGCTCTGTCGCGCCATTAATATCAGAGAAAGACGGATATGACCGATAATACGGTTAATTACGACGATTAATTGGACCCACCTACCGCGTTTTTTTTTTTTGCATCCCCTTTCCATTTTCGTTTCGTCGATAGGTTGGCTTGTCCCCATCCCCCCTTTTTTCCCTTTACTCGTTCGCCGTCGAGCTTTAAATTGTTTCGCGATCTTTGCGACAATGGTAACTTGTAGATTCACAAGTCCACGATGCTGCTTTTCGCTTTTTAGCGACTAGACTAGATAGGATAACGCGCGTCATCTAACAAATATGTTGGCGGTTGTACTATTAAGCATAACACCGTTTCGGATCGAAAGACGACCGTTACTCAGGATTAAGAATCGTTCGAGGAGAGAGATATAAATGTGTCACGCGAACTTTGGACGAACGGCGGAGCGAAGATAATCTCGCTCGTAAAGCTGTATTCTTGCGATCTACTAGAACTCTTATTTCTTTGTCTCGCTTTCTCCCTTTTTATTTCCAGGATAATCTGATCTACGCCCGAGAGTCTTGTTTTATCTTGAGACTCCAGACGCCTATACGATATCTAATTTGCTTCTTGCATCGTCGAGAAGAGACCGACTTTTGGTCGTCCATCACGGCCGAGATGAGAGCCGAGATGAGAACCGAATGAGAATCGATGCGACGATCCAATCGACGGGCTCAAGGGTCGCAGTTATGTTTCCTCGTGGAGCGTAAAAGGCAGGCGTTGCTAATTGCGGGCAGTTTCACCTTTCATCAGCAGGGGGCAACGAGCCCCTATCAGACAACGGCGACAGTCATGACGATGATGACGGCTGACGGCAATGATTATTATGACGAGCGTATAGGGCGCGTATAGGCGAGTCGTGCAGAAAATAAACTTTAATGCGCGAACGTTCTATGAGAATAAACGAGCGGGAGTGGCGCAACTGGTGCGATTATCAAAAATGATTCGCTCCGTCCTCGTCGCTCTCTGTCGTCGCTGATCCCCTCGTGGCACGGACGGCAGAATTGTGGCGACAACGAGCGCTTTATCAAAAGTGTCATATTAACCTAATTGATAATATGCGCGCCTCTCCCGTTGCATCGGCAATAGCCCCGCGCGATAAGCAACCGTAAAAATTTAACGAAACGACGAGCCCGCGTCTCTGTTTACAGGCACTCGGGACCAATCGAAAGAAACGAAACGAACGAAGAACATGTACAAATGACGCAGGATAAAATGAAATGAAAGAAAAATAGAAAAGAAAAGATTTACGCTCATATTCCCAGTGTATCGCGCGCCGCCGCGCCGGACGGATCTTCGCTTCCACTACCGCGCCGCGATTACTCTTCCATCTTCCATCTCTATCTTTCCTCTGCCCGTCCCGTCCGCCCATCTATTCTTATTCCCATCGCGCGCTTTATGCCCGATCATTACGTATGCTAATATTTACATTTAGATTGCACGGCTTAATCGAAGTGACGCCATGCGGTAATATAGCCGGCGCCATGGCGCTAAACCGTGGCGTCCGTCTCCCGTCCCCGTCCCTCTCGCTCCGCTCCACAGTCCTCTTCCACCGATTACAAACTCGAGTTCACTCTCAAGAGAACGCGATCGGTCAATCTTCCCCACGCTAATCTCTCCTCTCTCTCTCTCTCTCTCTCTTTCTCTTCCACATCCGTCCCTTTTTTCCTCTTCACCGCTAGGCAAACCACTTCGCCCCGGCGACCGACGGCGGTCAGCGATTAGAAGATCGTTATTCTAATGCCCGCACAGAGATTTAACGGGTCAATTTGCAATTTCCTTGAATAAACAATTTACGCGCGATAAATATGAGGGGCGCAAAAGCGTGAAGGAGATAGTATCGGTATCGCTATTCGAAGCGGAGCGGTTTCGTACCAATTCGCGCTCATTACCGTCGCCCTGGAATTCGCGCACGCGAGCCTTATCTGGTAGCCTTATCAATAACGCGGGAGATACATATACTACTTTCACTGCATTGCCGGCATGGGCCAAATTCTTCGAGTCCACCGCGGACGAGAGGGCAACGTGCACGTTCTATTTCTCCTCGCAGAGATCCGCGTATCGCGCTAGTCCGGCTAGTCGCGATAGAATGCGGATCAAATAAATCGCATAGCCCCCCAATCTCCTTTATAGATCATGTACCGAGGAAAGAACAATATAGATCAATATATTGTATGTATACGTGTATAGTTAAAGATTGCGTAAAAATATCTTATCTCGACTTATCTCATCGTTTCCGCGCTCTTGACGACCGGAAAAAAGAGATTAACCGGAAATAATCGCAGCGAGAGGTGAAAAATCATACGGACACGTGTTGCGTAACTTACTGAAGTCACCGGGACAGGATTTGCAGCATCGTCCCGGGAGTAGAACTGGTTCGTCACACGTGAGTTTCGGGCATTCGTTCTTGATGTTGCGGCATTGAACTCTCGCGATGATCCGCCGTTTCTTTTGCACCTAAAAGTAAAAGACATATGCTGGTAAAAATAAGCACGAACTATACGTTATATTATGATTATTTCGCAATTTCTTCTTCTCGCGGACGCACGAGACGTCCTTGGGCAAATTTTTTGCGGAATTCTCTTCGCACAAATTTCCCGCCGTCTTACTTCATCTTTACATCTGCTTTCCTCGATCGCGGTAAGCCTGAGACACGATTGAAAAAAAAAAAAGATAATAGGAAATAACAGATTTCAACTTATATGCCAGAATACACGGTCGCTGATAAGTTGAAATTGATTATTCCCTGTTGCCTGTGTTTTTCAATTGTGTCTCAGACTGAATTTTTGGTCGCCTTCCGGCATGACAATGGAAAGAATGTTTACGAGGCGAAGGCAATGCGACGCAGTTAGTAAAAGTGCGGTCGCAAGTCGCGTGGTTCCAGTTACGGAGAAGAATGAAGTCGGTGGTTTTATAGAGCGGCGCGCGCGCGCGCACGGCATTCCTGAAGCGTGAAACGACGAAACGACGAAACGAGAGAAAAGTAGTAATAAGCCGGGGTCCGATTGTGTATATGTTATTACAAGTTGATTTTGCTCACTTTTATCGTTTTCACCTCCGCTCAATATATAATGACCAAAGGCGATCATTAACATTAACAGACTACTTTAAGTTTTTGAAGTTTGCATGGATGGGTTGCGGCTTGGCGAGCGACAAGCGACATCGCTCCCGTGACGACCAGTGACGACTTTAGGTGAAGAGACATGGCTTCTTCTCTCTCGCAGCGACGTGTGATTCACGCGACGCGTCTGCTTCTTCCACCAAGCAAGACCACGACCTATCAATAGCTCCTCATGTACACTGAAGAGGGACTGTCATTCCTCCGAAGTCTAAAAATAGAGGCCCGCGCTCTCGCGCTCCTCGTCCACGACGAGCCGAACATAACAGCGCCGCAGCGTCTCCCGTCTCTCTTCCGTCTCGATTCCATCCATCTTTTCCATCAGTCGATCCTTAGATTTTCGAAGAAAGAACAATTTCACTCGTCCAATTGCTTCGGTCAAAAATGTTATCACCTTCATCATAATCATCGTACCTGTTATATTGCCACATTACGAGAAAGATTAGAACTCCGCGGCCTCTAATGATCCGACCGTACTGGCGTGACTTTAATGGCGTCGTACGTAATGATCGTACACCATTCCTTCTGTGTACGATCGTATAATTAATTTTCTCTTCTCGGTAAACTCATCGGATAGCGTCTCATTAGCATTTACACCGATTACTTATCGCGTGTTTTATCGTCGTTTAGTGCACGCATAAATTCCGCAACATTTCCACATTAAGATTTAACGATTCGGCGCGCTCGAAATTCTCATAACGACCGGATGGCGGACTCGAGACTCGAGCGATCAACAACGATTAAAACATACTCAAGAGTTGATCCAAATACCTTTCATTTAATGTAACGTACAAATGCATTTAAAAATATACGAATGCAAAATTTTCTATAAAATACAAATATATACATATTGTTTACCTAATTTAGTTTAGTTTGTCTTTATTTCTTTCGATAAAGAATACGCGTATTTAAATATATTAAGCGTATCATATTTAATCTAAATACATACATTCTCCAATGAAAGGAATAAAAACGAATTAAATTAATTTAGTCAAGTTAACAATTTTTTTCTCAGTGTAGCCTTTTTTCGCCAGAAATGTTGGACTAAGACAAAGTCGATTTTAGTTGTGAAAATTCTGTGATAGATAAATATAAATCTGTAATAAACAAATAAGATACGATCCAACTTTATAGTAAAAACTTAATGTTGTATAAAGCTTTCATAAGAATATGTAAGAATTTTCTCAGATTTTTATACAATCCGAAACAATATAAAAATCTGCACTAAAGTTCTCAAAGAACCAAAATAAAGGGTGAAAATTTCACATTGCCGATAGAACGGATATAGGAACGATATATTCAAGAATATAAGATATCTTAGGAGAGAATATTATTAAGCGGCATTTCTTTACGCGTGTATTGAACAGCGATAAGGCGTGAAAAAAAATTGGCGAATGTGCTAATGAAATACTGCATGAGGGAAGAAAGTTACAAGTGCACATCGCAAGAAGCGCTACACAGTCGTGCTCAGCGTGCGATCGTAATGCGCGTAACAAATGTTTTCTCGGCGTGTTTACAAACGATGTAACGCCCGGCCAACACGAATATTAATACGATTACATCACAGGATGAGCAATAGCGTTTCATTGCGTGTAAGAATTGGGTGTTAGGCATCGAGATTCCTAATCGACGTTGCGTTATCACGGAGGGGGAAGGAAGAGAAGGCACGCCTACAATCGGAATATAAATGATTATTGACGATTATTGCGCGATCTCGAATAAATATGTAAGCATCGATGCGTATTTCGTGACGCACGCGCGCACATCGAATCACTCGAAGTACTCGAACCTGCGCCTCGCTCGCCGACGCCGAGTGACGTTTCGGATTCGGCGTCTCGACACTCTCGACATTTGATACGTCAACCTTTGTGTCAATAGCATGGCATTTATAGGCTCGAGAGGTTAGGTTAAATTATACGCGCCCGGCGCCGTAATCGCAACAATGTACGCGCTCGCCACGTTGATTTATCCCGCGCGATAGAAATTTATCCTCTCGCCATTTTATAAGACTCGAACATACCGTGACTCGGTAAACATCGATGTGACTTGAATTTAAAAAAGGAGAAAAAAAATTACGACGTCGTGAACGTAAAGTCGTAATAAGTACCTAGGACGTGATTATAGCATGTTTCTTGACAATAAATTCGAAGGCAAAGGATAGAGAGAGGGTACGCGTCGCTCTTTATTCATGTATGTTAATAAATGCTGGCGTGGTACTGATTGTTTACTAAACACTACGTATACGCCGAACGCTACACGCGTGACATACGACACATTTTAACATACGGGCTGTAACGAGTTATGTATTTTTTTTTCTTTTTTTAATAGAAATAAAAAGGATTATAATACACACGTACCGGTATGCACTCGCATTTGATGCAATACATGACTCCGAAGGGCGGTCCCAAGTCCGCGAACCATGTCGAGCCCAATTCGCGAATCTGCTTGCCGAAAGTGCATTCTGAAAAGAAAGGAAAAATCATCGCGTCGTTATCAATCGTCGTCAGTATTGCCATATTACATTTGCGTCAAATAACATTAGCGATGTAAATATAAACATCATCTTATCCGATTTATGATTTCTCATCTTATCGATTACTACGCTACAAAGATTCTATTTCGCAGACATCGAAAAGACATTGGCTAAAGCGAAAATATTTTCTATTTTGAGGATTCTTTAATAAAAAAGAAACAGAATTTTTATTACCTGCAATTTTACATGCCAAGAAGATTTGATTCACTCTTTGTGAAATTTACCTTATCCTCACATATATACCCATGTAAAATTCTTTAATATGATTGGTTTATATATTTAGATCTGGTGAGAGAAACTAAGAAGAAAAACCAATCGTATTAAAAAATCTTACCACAGTTGCAAACCTGCTTTTTCTGTTGAAAGTAGCCATTATAGTAGTCATATTAGAAAAAAAAAGATATATATTTTAAACGCAAAACACAGCTCATCGCACTGACGCACTTCCGCTGTCATCATCGATGAATGAGACGCAATTTGATGCGAGTATAACGTAACACGCTCGGTATGTACATACATTGATCCGCGTGCATATTCATTCGCATTCACCGATATTATGCGTCGCGTCGTATAGAGACATCACCGAGACGCGATGATCGACGCATCAGTCATTCTCAATGTAAAACTCGGGCTCTTGTTTGCAAATTACAAACGTACTTAATTGTCAAATTTGTTTGCTGTTTATAGCAAATAAATTTGCATATTTCAACTATTTTATATTTGTTGCAAATTATTTTTCTAGCAAGTACAAAAAAAGAATATTTGTTATACCAGCAAATAATTTTGCAATCTTTATATTTGCCAACTGAATTTGCTGTCATGGCATAGGATTAGCGTTCATAGCAAATTTTTTCTCTCTGTGCAGTCGGTCGGTGACAAAACGGACGAGTCTCTCCGGTTCGCCGCTTCGAATCCGGATTGCCGGATTAGTTTTACAGCGTAAGACGTAAATCCTAAAGAGAGAGAAGAGATAAAGACGAGACCGTTATCTTTTACAACAAGCGATAGCCAGTAGCAAAACACATAATAATACGCTCCATTAAATCGATAACAATATCTTTTTCTCAAGTTTTTTTTAGCTCGATATTTTTAGATTCGTCTTGATTCGCTAAGAAGAAAAGGAAAGAGTAAGATTGCAAGCTGCTATTAGTGTGTATAGTATAATTATTCCGTCAGTTATCCTTTCTTTTCCATGTGTAAAAATAAAGGCGGGCGTGGAAGCACCCGAGAATAACACGATGAGAATAGCTTGCGTTTGTATTACGCACGCGTGCACCTCGCGACATCCTTATTATCCTGTAAAGTGACTAATTACAGTAAGTAATTACCGCCTTTTTTCTTAATCCACAGTTTTACGCGCAATCCAAAATTGACGAGAATTATTAAAGTTCCGAAACGTTTTCGAGACACCGGTTAAAAGGTTGCAACACTTTTTTTTCAATGGGTTTCGGAACTCAGCCTTGCTCGTAGAGCCGTAAAACGTAAATGGATCAGATCCAAAAGTAAGAATCAATCGCTCGGTGAGCAGACTACATTTCAAAACTTTCAAAAAGAAAAAAAAAGTGTTGCAACCTTTGGGTTGATGAGTGTACATATCTCACTCTTAATATTATAAAAGAAAAAATCGACAATTATTTCTTACCCTGAGAAAAATATTCTGATTAAACCAACAAAAGAACTCAACAAGAATAATATTTTGGTGAGACCAAATAGAATTTCTGGTTACATCTCTTTTGTTGATTTAATCAGTTTTTTAAAAAGATGAAACAATATTTGCCTTATGTTATTGCTCTAATATATCAAGTAAAATGATAAATATACTATTTAGATATGTGTGTGTGTGTGGATGTATGTATAAACAAGGAAGAAACAAAGAGATAGACAATGTTGTGGAAAAATATATTGGCGGAATTTTCATTATCATACCGCTCTAAGCTACTCAAAAACTATTCATCGCAATGAGAGAGAGAGAGAGAGAGAGAGAGAGAGAGAGAGAGAGAACTCGGTCATGTGTGAGTTAGAGAAAGGGAAATGGAGAGAGGCCCGTTTTGCACGAGGTCATTGCACTGCGTGCGCTAAGTCGTTCTAAGCGCAAAGTCGCGGCCCTAAGTAACTAGGAGTCCGAGAGAGCCACGACACAAGCTACCGCATCGAAAATATGCGAGTCACGCGGCAGAGCGTGGTAAGGTGAAGCGTATTAGGTCTCTCCCCTCTCTCTCTCTCTCTCTCTCTCTTCTCAATAGTGATGACTCCTTCGGCTTTTCCTCCGTTTCTCTCATCATTCGGGGTGGCTTTCTTGGGCGACGCGACACGCTTCTCCGCGTCCATGCGTGTTAATATAAATCGAGTTTTCTCGACAAGTGCAACCACTTTCAGCGATCGTTATTATCACGACTTTGTATACGAATGATGATCGTGACTTAACGCGCGGAGCTCGAGTTGAGAATTAATAACGTTTCGCGCGACGTTACTCACAACTCATCCGCGCGTATGTACTCTTGCCAGTTGCCAGCGGGCAAAATAAATTTCTCCCCTTTGTCCACACACGCGTGTCTGTGCACGTGTGTATATGCACGCCGTACGTGCGTGAACCGAAGAAGCGTAAATTCTAATCAACGGCAAAGCTTAAAGCGATCGTTAGACTATCGATATTATTGCACAATATTTGATATTGCACAATATTGTTGATCGTCTGGAGACTGTATTACAGCCTCTAACTTATTTGTTTTGAATCGTTTAAACATACTGAAAAAAAAGTCTGATAATAGCTATCAAATGTTGAGTAAAATAATTTCAATGAAATATTCGGTTAATATAATCAAAATATAATTTTACTTTTCTAAATATATTATTTGGTAATATTATAATGAAACATTTGATTAAAATTATTTCACACGACATTTGATAGCCATTTATATCCGATTCTTTTTTTTTTGTGAATGAAACATCAATAATATCGTATAAAATAATTATACAATAATATTGAGCTAAATAATGCTTAACATTAACCGAACATTTATCTAGATCAGAGGCCACTTTACAAAGCATGCATAAATATCATTTGGACGAAAGCTACGAACGCGGGTACTCGAGAAGACGTGCAGGCAGTAATAATCACAATCCACAAACTGTCCTCGAGCTATACTTGGCGTAATGATAAGAGCTACGGCACACAAGAAAAACGTAAAGCAATAAGACGTAAGCAATGAGGGAATCGACCAAATCACAGTAGAGGAGACTATAAGGCAATAACGCGAGTAGTAGCAAATAAAAAATGTTGATTAGCTATTATACTGCTTATGCTTTTTGTGTAGTCTTAACAACCTGCACGATTATAACACTCATCGATAATAATGCTTTTGAGGCTTTTGAAATCCATTATTAGAATGTCAATATTTCGTGAACAAATTGCAGTTTATTCCATCAGGACGAGAAGCAACAGTCTCTGATGCACGGAAATATTACCCAACACTTAAAATCGTGGACAGTGCGCTGAAAATCACGCCCGACACTTTGCGAGCCGAAGAGTCTTCTTCTTCTTCTTATTCTTCGAGAGAGAGAGAGAGAGAGAGAGAGAGAGAAAATAAAATGTAGTCCGCTGGTGCTATGCGATGCCATGAGTACGTCTTCGCTCGCTAATATAAATAATGTGGAAAAGGGGCGCGCGCGCATGCAACGGAATGCCCTGGACCCGTAATCCACTAAGGAGGAGGTTAAGCGAATGGCAAACACGTGCTACACCTTTCGTTTTTCGCTTTTCCACCCTCCTCCCCGGCCGCGCCGTCCCCCGCATTTCAGTATCCTTCTCTCGGATAGATTTACGAACGTGACGTCTATCCGTTCTCGTACCTCGCCTCCCGTTTCTTCCTCTCTGCCTTTCGGCATCTACCCGCTTTTCGTCTCGAGTTTCACATCACCTTTAGCATCGCGCGCACGCTCGTACCTCGTTCGCTCGTTCGCTTTGCCTGCTCGCTCGCCGCCGCTCGCGTCGTGACATCGTGACACGCAAGGCGTGCATAAGACGACGACTGTTATCCTATCGCGACGCGTCGCGTCGCGTCGCGTCGTAACGATAAAAACAATAACGCGGCTCGATTGCACACAGTTAGCCGATCGAAAACGACGCGACGCGGCGTATCGCGTTTATTCTCTGCCAGAAGCAGGTCGAATCATTCGCGATGATCCTCATTAATGGCACTTGGCACGTCGCGGTATAATATATGTGTAATCAGCGATAAATTTAATTTCGCGCGTACGGAGGGAGAGACTTTCGTCGCGTTTAATCGACACGAAAAAGAATACGATACCTATATAACGCTCGATCTATATGATTACGCCAGATTCCCGGAAAATACATCGAGCCACGTGCATCATCCGCGTCATAGATGTCGTTTACGTAACATGTTCCCGTTTAAACGAAGAACCCTTGCCTTCGGCATCGTAAGGTACGCGATGCCTACCGGACGAGCGGCACTTTCTCGAGCCGAGACTTACGGTCTACGCGGAGACGTTTTAGCATCTCCGTTAAAAGCGCACGTAGGATGCTCGTCCGATTGTTTATGTATGCGTGAACCGCCGCACCGTCGCAACTGCCGCGCGCCCCGATACCTGTCGACACGCAGATTTACGTGGGCGGTGCAAACACATCACTTTGCCGCGCGCACATTTTATTTTCTTCCCCCTCTCTTCTTCTCTTTACTTCGACCTAATTCTTTTTACGTTATTAAATTTTATTTATAATAACGACTTCGTCCGATCGGTGAGTTTGAAAAGAGGTCGGAAAAAGAGATCGCTATTTTTTTCTAAATATCTTCACACTTATCATTGTATTTGAGATTAATTTTGGAGCAATAATATTGACCATTTAGGGCGCTTTAGAGTAGTTTAGAGTTAAAAATTTTTTCTAATTTTCGCGTGTTTTCCAACTT